TCTTTCTATCTTATACTCATTTTTAGATACAACTGCATCTAATAATTTTACTTGAATAGATTGAATCATTGATCCTATATATATACCTTCAATTGCTAAGCATCCAACAACATCACATCTTTTTTTAATAAGACTTTCTCCTAAAATATCACCATTTTTATTTCTGAATACTTGATCCATCTTTTTACTTTTATAATCTGTTGGTACTTTTGCATATATAACTGGAGATGCCTTAAAATCATCATTTCTATACTTTAAAATATTCAAGTTGTTAATATTTAAGCTTTTCATACCCCCTTTTTTTAACGTTGCTTCATTTTCAATAACTTTATCTCTACAAAATTTTTCAATAGCTTCAATAATTGCGATAAATATATCATTTTCACATACAAAAGGAATTGAGTATCCTGTAAGTTCTTTTGTTTTCATGTCTCTATTTTCACAAACTCCATATGATAACGATTTTGGAGTTTTTACTCATAAAGGTTCTGAGAAGTTAGAGTATTTGTATTCAATTACTATTTTTTGATATTGAACAGGTTTATTAAATTTTTTTATTTCTTTTACATATAAATTTGCTTCATCAAAATTTTCAATATCTACATATGTCATTCTTTTTATATATAAAATAAAATTATTTATATTATTTTCAATTTTTTTAATTTTCTTGTAAAATATATAAATTTTATCTTACATCATTTGCTAGAGTTGTAATTTGAAGTTGTTGTTGTTACAGTAGTATTTGTATTAGCATTACCAGAAGTAGCTGTTACACATATATTCACATTTACATTTGAGTTGTTCATTTTTTTTAATAGTAAAAAAATTTAAATCACTATGTGAACCGGGCTTTGTCAAATATTTTTCAATTCTGTATTATTAACCCATGAGTTAAAAGTATCAGGATACCCATACCACTTTACTAATGATTTATTACCTTGTTTACGAATAACCTTTTCAATTCTAAATATCTCTTGACTTGTTTTTTGAAGTTCTTGTTCATAAAAAGTACCTTGTATTTCTTCATTATTGTAATCAGTTATTTTATAAGTGGGTGGATCTGTGTATTGAATTTGTGATATAGTAAATACTTCTTCTGTCCATCTTGGTGTGTATCCTTTTTCAAATGCTCCTTTCTTTTTAATTATTCTTACTTTATCACCTATTGTAAACTTGGGATGAGGAGACTCTGATATCACTTTACCATTTAAATTTAACCAAACTTTATTTTCATTCTTTTTATTGCTTGCTTCAGCTGGAGTCATTTTAATTGAAGAATGCTTTGTGTTGTTGTATTGATTTACCATTTTATCTAAAACATCAATGTATTTTCTAGTAGAATTAGCAGAAAAGTATTTGAACATTTTCTCTTTCATTGTTCTATTCCATCGTTCAACTACACAGCTTTTTTCTTTATTTTCAGTTGAATAGAGATGAACACCTAATGCTTTAACATGCTTATTGTAAAATTCTGAACCTTTATCAACCCATAATTTATTGCATTTCCTATCTTTAAATATTTTATTAAATGCGTTAGCAACTTCAATTCCTGTCTTACTTTTCAATGGAATTATCCATCCATACTTTGAAAATATATCAATAACCATTAACAAGTATTTTATACCATTATTAAATTTAGAATAAGCTTGCATATCAACTAAATCAGCAGCCCATATTTCATCTATTCCATTTGCAACTACTTTTCTTTTTCTAAAATGTTTTATAACAGGTTTATGAAGTTCATTTGCAAGTTCATCAGTCCATTTCAGGTTTTTGCTTTTTTTCCTCTGCGTTGGTAGTTTTTTTCACATAATTCTTTAATACTTATTGGTTCTTTATTTCCCATACCAAACCTTACTTTAGCAGATATGATAGGTTTTATAATCTTTCTTTCTAATTTTTCACGAGGTGTAGGATTAGGTATAGCATCCATTTGTTCAAGCATTATTTTATCAGCTAAATTTCTATTCTCTTTATCTGTAAAATGTTTATAAGCAAGATCATGAATATAAGCTGTTTTATCAACTCTATCTACAGGCATGCTCCATTCTTTAGGCATCTCAGTAGAAGTTAATCTTTCATCTAAATTAGTACCAGGTCCTGCAAAGTTCATACCTGGTATATGCATTTCACCTGGAAACTTTTGCAATGGTAATTTTTTATTACTTGTGAATTTATTAATAGATTCTACCAAATCACCTCCTTTTTGTGCTCCTTTTGTAAATTGACATTTTCTTGTTTCGCAGATTGTACAATTTCCACATTGCATATTTCTTTTGTTTTTACTCACAGCATTTTGTAAGTTGAGTGTATCTGTTTTGTTTTTACATTTAACGCAATACATTTTTTATATATGTATTTTAATTTATTTAATTTAAAAAATACTTTTCGTAAATAAAAAATGGAAATTATAGATTTATCATGGAATGTAAATAAAAGTAAACGTCAAAATAATGAGTTATTACCTAAAAGTATAAGAGGGATTATTGTTGGAAAATCAGGTTGTGGAAAAACAACATTATTATTAAACTTGCTATTAAGACCTGGTTGGTTAGACTATAATAATTTACAAGTTTTTGGAAAATCTCTTTTTCAACCTGAATACAAAATATTAAAAAATTCTTTTGAAAATAAATTACCAAAAGAAGTTATTCTTAAACTATTTGAGTTGCAAGATCAAATAAATAAAAACAATGTAAATCCAGAGTTTGTTATTAAAGACATTTCAAGAAATTTAAAAGATAAAACAGATATAGAATGTAAATTTTTTGAAACAGCAGAGGATGTACCAGAACCTGAAAGTCTCAACTCTATTAAAAATAATTTAATGATATTTGATGATTTACAATTAACAAAACAAAACAAGTGTGAAAAGTACTATATAAGAGGAAGACATAGCAATGTAGATTGTTTCTACTAGCACAAAATTATTTTGAGTTGCCTAGGAGAACGATAAGAGAAAATGCAAATTTTATATGCTTGTTTAAACAAGATTCTAAAAATGTAAACCATATTTATAATGATCATGTTTCAAATGATATGAAATTAGATGAGTTTAAAAAGTTTTGTAATGAAGCTTGGTCAAAAAAGCATGGATTTGTTGTTATAGATTTGTCTTCTGATTTATTAAATGGAAAGTATAGAAGTGGATTAGATTTATTTTATTATCCAACTTCATTGTGGAAACAATAAATATATATTTTTTAAAAAATATATATTTTTTATGAAGCATTGGTTCTTTCAGAACTTAGTGAAGCCTGGATCACGAAGTAATCTAAAGAAACAAATTTAATAATGGGATATTCTTAAATGGTGAATTTTCTCCTAATAACAAACCTTTACCTACTGATGTATAATCATTTCCATTTCTTAAATAATATCCATCGTTTGAATAATTATAGCTACCATTCCATGGGTTTAAAAATACTCCTTTTCCTACTTTTCTAATTTTAAATCCATAACCATTCTTTTTCATATAAATAATACCATTTCCAGCAATTTTATTAACTATAGCATTTCCAGCAGCTGCACCTACTCCTGTTAATGCTGCTGTTGCAATTACTGGAGCAGCTTTTGCAATTACACTTCCAATTAATCCAGCTAATCCTATTAAAGGTAGAAATCCACCATTTTTTTTAGCATTATGTTTAAGTTGTGCTCTACTCAGTGAAAGTGTTATACCCTTATTTTTTAAATAGGCTGCTTTCATTCTGTTTCTTTGTGACTCTGTTAAAGCTATTTTGTGTTCACCATTTAAATCTTCATATGATAGTTTTATACTAGCATTAGTATCAGATTCAATTGCTTTTTTAATTTTTTCTTTCTGAGTATCTGAAAGATTGATAAGAGTATCATAGTATTTTGTCATTTTTTATATATAAAATAATTTTTTTAATTCACTTTAAGTTATTGCTTTTTGTAATGCTTTATACTCATCATCATCTATTTGACCCTGTCGTAACAACTCATCACAAATAGCAACAATCTCATTTCTTGTTCCAGTATTTCCTGCTTGTAAACCAGCTAAGCGTAATTTAAGCATATCAAATAGTGCATTTGGATCACTAGGAAGAATGACAACTCCTTTTCCAGACTTTCCAATCATCTCTTCCCAAATAGGTTTTATTACATTAGTGTACTTATAACCTTTAGATGATCTTGGTTTAGCTAAATTTAAATCAGAGCGAATTGCATCTGTTTGATTTAAAATTTCTTTATACTTATTACGATCATCGTTAGTATATCTAACAGGATGAGATTTTACTATGATTTCCCAAAGACCAGGTGTACCAGTGTATTTTTTACCTTCAATAATTATATCATTACCTTCAATAGTTATTGGTTTTTTACCAATGTAAAATTTTTCATTACCTTCATTGTAATGTATACCAAATATGTCATCTGATACTTTTTTACTATTTTTAGTAGAATATAACTTTAAATATTCTGTTGCGATAGGTCCTAATCTCATGTTATCTACAACTTCAGGTGGCATGATTGCTTTAGTTTCAGAATCTAGTAAAGCAGGATAATTTGAAAAAGTATTTGCTATTTGATTAGCTTTATTTTCTAATTTAGATATACCTTCTTTTATTCCAGATTGACTATCTATTATTGGTTTGTACATTTTTTCCAAGTTAGTCTGTAAAGCATCATAGCCTAACTTTTCATTAATAGAATCTTGATAAACACTTTTCTTTAACCCATCAAGTTCTTTTGCTATTTTTAATCTTGCATCAATATCTGTAGCTTTTGCATACATTTTTATATAAGCAATAATTTTTTTAAATCACAATGTGATCTCTAGATCCCTAAAAGGATTAAAAATCAACATATATTATGTTTTTTAATACATAATATATGTTTAAGTAATACAAAATATATGTTTTTTTATTTAATTCTTAAGAGTATTATTCATCACTCCTATATTCTGATTTTTGTTAAATCTCATATTTAGCAATTCCATAGTTTCTTTCATTGCTTTCTCTTTACCTTGATTAATGAGTGACTCTTTAGTCTGTTCATCTATATTATTTTTAGATTTTGTTCTAATTTGTTCAGTCATAGCTTGAAACTTTTCAAGTTCTGAAAGTATCATATTAAATTCTGCATCATCAATATATTGATCTGATGTAGCTTTAGAAATAAGACTACTTATTGTATTTAGTTTTGCATCAGCTAGTACTTTAATCTTTTCATGCTTTTCTGCTTTTATTGTTAATTTTTTAATAGCTTGTGATCCTATTAGTGATAATACACCCATACCTAATGCTGCACCTTCACATGCAATAGCTACTGGTGTACCAACTATTGTTGTTAAAAAACCAATACCAACAGCTCCAAGTGTCATAGTAGTTGCAAGTAATGAATTATCAACTGCTGAAATGATTCTTACAGCTCTATGATATTTTTTACTTAAAATCTCTCTTCTTTTCCTTTCACATTCCATTTTATTTTGAATTTCACTTATCTTTTGTAATCTAAAGTTATGATCTATAGATTGTGGTGGTGCAGATGGATTTTCTGAAAACTGGTTAAGATCTGGATAAAGCTGCTTACATTCATTATTATATCCATTATTACATAGCATTTCTTTTTTCTATAAAGAAAAATTTGTTTTAAATCACTTTTGTGATCAATGCTTCGCAAAATCACTTTTTACCAAAATTAAATATATCTTCATCAGATTTATCTATACTAGGTTTATCTTTAATTACTTCTTCTATACTTGATAATAAAGATTTTACAGATTCTTTATCACTTTTCTGTTTAGTTCCTGAGTCATTTTGTTGTCTAATTTGTTCTTCTTTAACATGTTCTAAAGCATCTCTATGTGATATATAATTTGCATTTAAAACACCATTATAAGTTGATATACAACATAACAAATCTCCTTTTTTAATGTTTATATCTTTTTTATCGTTATTATATACAGTTATTTTAATATCGTCAGTAGACTCTGTTACAATAGAATTTAGTAAATTTAGTTCTGGTTTATAATTTTCTGCAATTGAAATCACTATATGTCCTTTATCTATTTCAACACCACACATTAAAGAAATGTTATTACATGAATTTGATTTTACTGTAAAATCTTCTTGTGCGAATACTTTAATATGTCTATCATTTATTGCTCTATGTTCTAAATCTGAATTAATATTAAAAGTTATTCTATATTGTTCATGCTTTTCATAATATAAAAACATTCTACTATTATACATTTTATAAATGTAAAGATTTTTTTAAATCACTCTGTAATCCTCATATCTATTTTGTTTTTAAAGTTCTAGCAATATAATTTAAAATGCTTTCACCTTGATGTAAAAAATTACACTTTTTATTATCATTAACATTTTTATATATTAATATTTTTTCTCCTTTTTTATTTTTCTTTAATTTACTCTCTACTAATTTACATGGAGTATAATGACAAATTTCTACATTTTCTTCAATTTCTTTAAAAGAATGAGCATATTTGCAATTTATTTTTTTACATTCTTTTTTATCAAGAATATATTTACATAATTTAGTTTTAGCTTTTCTTAATTTTAATAATTCTGACTTTTTAGGATGAAACAATCTACACTTTTTATTCTTACATTTAGGGTATTCAGAACATAGAGATAAATGTCTATATTGACATGAAGATTTAGTGCATATGAGTCTTTCCTTTACAGTATTACAATAAGGAATATCATGATTGTATTTACATTTTCTTCCAAAAGGGCAGAAATTATCATTTAAAATATTTTTACAAAAAATGAGTAGTTTCTCTACAAAATGAATTGTTGAAGGTTTTCCATCTTCAGTAAAATTAATATCTACATTAAATGGTTTTTCAAAACTAAATTTTCTGTTTTTGTAATGTTTTTTTGTTAAGAAACTATCTATAGCAGGAAAATCATCATTAATAACATTATAAGTTGGAATATAATTAATCCATTTCAGCTTATCTTTATGCAGTTCCATGATTTGAACTGTTTTTAAAGGAATTGGAACTATAGGTTTTTCTTTAACTTCATCTTCTTCATCAGATGTAAAATAAGTAGCTTCATCAGATGTATAATAAGTGTCATCTTCAGAATCTGATTCTTCAAATTCAAATTTTAATAATTCTTCAAAAAGTTTAAATTCTTTTTGAAATTCAGATATTTCATTAATCTCATCATCATTCATTTTTTATTTTTATTATTTGTAAAAATATTTTAAATCAAAAAAATTGAAAATGAGTTAAATAATTTTCTTTACATAATAAAAAGAATGGAAAACGAAATGCAAAATTTATTTTTAAGATCAATAGAACAAAGATTAAGATTAATAGAAGAAAAATTAAATATTATTAATATTCATGATATTGAAATGACTGAAGATTCTGAAGTTACTACAGTTACTACTACTGAAGTTACTGAAATTACAGAAACTACTGAATATAGTGATGATGAAGATGATGAAGAAGATGAAGATGATGAAGATGATGAAGATGATGAAGATAATGAAGATGATGAAGATGATGAAGAAATATTAAAATATATACATGAATTAGGGTATAAAAGTACAGATGATGCTTTTATTAAAGCTGCAGAAAATGGAAATCTTGAAATTATTAAACATTTACATGAATTAGGGTATAAAGCTTCAAAATATAAATTTAATTGTGTTGTTAAAAGCGGAAATCTTGAAGTAATTAAATACTTGTATGAATTAGGGTATAAAGGTACAGAAGATACATTTAATTCTGCTGTTGAAAGCGGAAATCTTGAAGTAATTAAATATTTTCATGAATTGGGGTATAAAGGTACGGAATATGCATTTAATTGTGCAGTAATTAAAAATGGAAATCTTGAAATATTAAAATATTTACATGAATTAGGGTATAAAGGTTCTGAATGGGTATTTGATTGTGCTTTTTCAAAAGCTGCTGAAAATAGCAACCTTGAAATATTTAAATATTTTCATGAATTAGGGTATAAAGCTTTAAATTCAGATTTTAATTGTGCTTTTGAAAAAGCTGCAGAAAATGGAAATCTTGAAATGTTAAAATATTTACATGAATTAGGGTATAAAGCTTCAAAATATGAATTTAATTGTGCTTTTGAAAAAGCTGCTGAAAATAGCAACCTCGAAATATTAAAATATTTACATGAATTAGGGTATAAAGCTTCAAAATATGAATTTAATTGTGTTGTTAAAAGCGGAAATCTTGAAGTAATTAAATACTTGTATGAATTAGGGTATAAAGGTACAGAAAATACATTTGATTCTGCTATTGAAAGCGGAAATCTTGAAGTAATTAAATATTTTCATGAATTGAGGTATAATGGTACGGAGTATGCATTTAATTGTGCTTTTGAAAAAGCTGCAGAAAATGGAAATCTTGAAATGTTAAAATATTTACATGAATTAGGGTATAAAGCTTCAAAATATAAATTTAATTGTGTTGTTAAAAGCGGAAATCTTGAAGTAATTAAATACTTGTATGAATTAGGGTATAAAGGTACAGAAAATACATTTGATTCTGCTATTGAAAGCGGAAATCTTGAAGTAATTAAATATTTTCATGAATTGGGGTATAAAGGTACGGAATATGCATTTAATTGTGCAGTAATTGAAAGCGGAAATCTTGAAGTAATTAAATATTTACATGAATTAGGGTATAAAGGTGCAGAATGGGTAAATAATTTAGCTGTTAAAAAAGGATATATTTTATAATTTTGATGCACTTAGTGACTATAAATTCTAGTAGTGATAAAGTTAAGCAATGCTTCACTACTACGCATAAGCGCATTAAAAAATAAAAAAAATGAAAAATAAGTTAAATAATTTTCTTATATAAAAAAGAATGGAAGACGAAGAAAAAAAAAAAAAAAAAATGTTATTAAAATATTAAAAGCAATTAATCACGCTATAGAAAATGGTAACCTTGAACAAGTAAAATATTTGCATAAATTAAAGTATTATTATGAAGAATTAGCAATTAATTATGCTACTGAAAATTATGACTTTGAATTAGAGCAACAATTATATAAATTTAAGTATAAATATGAAAAATGTGCAATTAGTTCTGCTACTATAAACGGTCACTTTGAAGTAGTAAAATATTTACTTGAAATTGGATATAAAGTTGATAAATTAGCAATTAGTTATGCTGCTATAAATAACCACTTTGAAATATTAAAATATTTACATGAATTAGGGTATGAATGTTATGATTGGACAATTGATTGTGTTGCTAAAAATGGTCACCTTGAAATATTAAAATATTTACATGAATTAGGATATAAAGGTACAGAAGATGCAATAGATAAAGCTGCTCGAAATGGTCACCTTGAAATGTTAAAATATTTACATGAATTAGGGTATAAAGGAACAAAAGATGCAATAGATAAAGCTGCTGAAAATGGTTATCTTGAAATATTAAAATATTTGTATGAATTTGGGTATAAATGTGACAAATGTGTATTTTATTCTGCTGCAGAAAATGGTCACCTTGAAATGTTAAAATATTTATATGAATTAGGGTATAAATGTGACAAATGGACAATTTATATTGCAAAAGAAAATGGTCACCTTGAAGTAATTAAATATTTACATGAATTAGGGCATAAATAAGAAGCAAGAAAAAAAATTGAAAATAAATTTCTTTACATAAATTATAAAAAATGGATTGTACAAGTAAAGATATTAAATTAGGAAGTTATAAAAGAAGAATAAGTTTAGCTCGTTATTTGCAAAATAAAATTAAATTACATGCTGAAAAGTTAGAAAATGAAAGATTAGAAGAAGAAAAGTTAAAAACACCAGATCAAATTTATTATTAGAAAAAATCACGTGACCTATGACGTCATGCAAGAATTTTTCGTAATATTTCATAACAAGAAATAAAAATTAATACTTATTTTAAAAAATCAATTTTTTTTAAAATAAAAAAATATTTCTTGTTGAAATAATTTATATACAATATGGTTAACATTGAACCCTATATTAATATTAATTTATGGTTGAAAATTTGGTTGAAAATAAAAATGGCTCAGAATCGGCAATCTCTATCTACTAATATACATACATATATATATATATATATATATATATATATATATATATATATATATATATATACATATATATATATATATATATATATATATATATATATATACATATATATATATATATATATATATATATATATATATATATATATATATATATATATATATATATATATATATACATATATATATATATATCAATATTTATATATATATATATACATATATATATATATATATATGTATATATATATATATATATATATATATATATATATATATACATATATATATATATATATGTATATATATATGTATATATATATATACATATATATATATATATATATATATATATATATAATATATATATATATATATATATATACATATATATATATATACATATATACATATATATATATATATATATGTATATATATATATATATATATATATATATATATATATATATATATATATATATATATATATATATATATATATATATATATATATATATATATATATATGATAAATTGTACATATATATATTAAAAATATAATTACATATACTATATCGGCAATGTAATAATGATTACTATATTGCCAATATAGTTGCAAATAATATTGGCAATATTATTATATTGATAAACTATATTATATAATATAGCAAACATTAATAAATAAAATATAATATATCTGTGGTACTTTATTAAACTACGATGTTCTTTATTATAACTACGATGTAATACTTTTTCATTAAAGTTACTTAACTAAATAACTGGCTAGTGTTTATTTAATTTTAATTCTGTTCAAAAAATATAAGCAAAACAATTACTTTCTCATTTTAATAACTTAATTTACTTTCAGTAGACGCGCGCATACCTCTATTTCAAAACCAACGAATCAGATTGCGCTTTTTTAAGGTATTTCTGAGTCTGTTAGGGTTTCAAAATATGCCCACCGGATGTTTGAGCCAGTGGAATAGTTCCTTCTGGAGATAATTCTTTATTGGAAATAACTTAAGATGCGATTTGTTCGGATGATTTGGCATCTTTTGCTGCAAAAGATTGAATGTTTTCTCTTAACATTATTTGAGAGCATTGATGGGCAAACCTTTTCCTAAAGGGCTGAGGCATTTGCTGCAACGAGCCTTTGGTTTTTTTCTCAATAGTGATTTTCTCTATAAGAGGATGTTTTTCTTGAAGCTTTGAACAACCAATTTGGCATATTAGGCAACAACACATCTTGTTTCAGGTCTCACTTGTATTGGCTTATAATCAAACAAAAGAGGGAGTACAACTTCTTTCCCCTCTTGTTTCCTGAGTAAAGTAAGTCTACACGACTCGCAGAACCCTTTTGGTACCCAAATATCACTGATATCGATCTTGGTCTTGTACAGTTGGCATATTCAATCTGCTTGAAAAGCAGAAAGCTGTCTTAAACATTTTTTCAGACAGAAAAAACACAAACATGATTCTTAATATAGTAAGACATTATTAATTAAAAACTATTAAAATAAAGGAAATATTCACTTGATTTAATTGAGCTAATATTGAATTACAAAGAAATAATTCTTGAATAGTTCTTTCCTTACCAGAAAACAATTGTTTAAACTATTTATTTGTAAGGAGATTACATTATTGATAAATGTCACACTTATTAAACAAATGATATTTGTCACATGGGTTGTTTTATTTCAAAAGAACCGTTCAACCTAATTAGTTTTTCAGTTAGAGTAATTTTCCTCCGACTGGCACTCCAAACTTTGTATTGATACAATATCTTAGTTAACTTATCTAAATTTTTTTACTCAATTATCTTTGTCAATATAAAAAATATTTGGTTTTTTCACAGTTGTTCTGTTTTCAGATAAATAAATATTTTTATTTTCTATTTAGGTATCCCTAGAAACTCTTTTTAACCATTTTTTTAGAATTTGCATTCTGGCAGTAGTTTATACCTTAGGAAATGTTGGTATATTCACGCTATGCATGCAAGGAGTCATGGCTTTTTTTTGCGAGGACCTTTTGTTTAAGAAATATAGGCAGTTATTTTAGAAATTATGGATATTATTTTAGAAATTGAGGGGTTGACCCTCTTTACTTTTAAAGCCGTGTCAACACCATTGGCATAAGCCAATTCAAATCACGCTTTAAGTAGCAAATCACTATTTTAGTCTATAAAATGAAAACTGTACATGTACCGATAAAATAATTATAACAAAAATTGTTGGCATTACATAGTAGAATACTCGTGTAACCGTTATGTCAAAAATAGTGACCGAATTTCAAAGTAATCGGTAAGGCTTTCAGGTATAAGTAGCAATAAACTGACAAAACTTCAACTAAAACTGCAATAAACCCTACACCAGTCATCCAATCAGGTTGAAATTTTGTCCCGAGTTTAGTGTGACTATGGGCTACATTTGCAACAATTTTTATCAAAGTATATTGAGTGATTCGAATTCTACAAGTAATTTGTTTTGGCGCACTATGAAGTCAAAATTTGAATTAATTTGAACATTCAAATTAAATTGTTTTCGGCGGACAAAATTAAATGATTTCAAAGTTTGCATCACAGGGTACCTTGATGTATACGCTAACTTTCCGTATAAGTGGCGTTCTTGGGACAGCTAGGTAGGCATTATAAGGATCCCTGCTAACCCTGTATGTGTACTAGCTGAGAAAGTTTTAAAATAAATTTTCATAACAAGAATGACCGCAATTGCATGTATGAAAATAAGTCTGTTATATACTCTTAAATATATATGTGTAACGTTTTACAAAAAAGTCTAAAAAAATACAGTATTTTAAGTTTACCAAAAATACATGAGATTCTTAAAAGACTTTATTAAGAATAAAGTTTACAAGATTATCTTTTTATATTATCATCATTTGTCAAAGTCAAGTCGTGAAGCTGCTTTTACTTTACATTGTTTTTTTAATTCCTAAGCAAGTAGTTTTTAATTTCTCCCATTTTATCATTTTTGTGATGAGTTTCTTTTGTTCGTTAGTTTGGTTTAGGGTTTTCTTTTCTACTGACAAACAAATTTCATTTCTGATTGGAGTATTAGTCAAGATATTTGTTTTTAGTTGCCTACTTTTAAAACTTCTTTTTCTAGCAGATGCTTTCGGGTTTGGTTTCAATTAAATAAGCAATAAAATAAAAAAAATAAAAATAAGCGACGCTTAGTGACACTTTCTTCAAAAAACTTATTTCATGATATGCTACAGTCATTCCAGGTTCCACAAGAGCTGTGTTTACTGCATTTGGAGCAGCACGATCTGTAACTGATGATAGTGAATATTTATTATCTTCAAAAACTTCTGGATTAATGCCAGCTACTAAAAATCCTCTCTGCATATTAGATAGTGAAAAAGCTTTTATATATAGTTCGCAAACTATTAAAACAATGTCATAAATGGTCATAGGCTTGGGTTTAAGACCACCCAATTGTCACATGTATCATTGTTGAACCTTTTCAATGGTCCGAAAACAGTCCTATTTATTTAGCATTTAACATAGCAGAAAACTTAGCGTTGTTATTCCAAATTGAGTAGCAAGATCTAAAGTTCTGAAAAAAATATGACTTTTATGGCTGTCTAGAAGTAACAAAACTGGATATTCATAAGAAAAATTTGAATACCTCACAAAATGTTTTATCTATTCTATAAAAATGTCCGAATTCATCCAACGAGAAGCATTTGCAAACCCCACGCATCCTGGAGGTCCTTTATCAAGTAATCATGAAGTTTGACCATAGTAAAAACAAATAGTGGAGAAATAGAGTTTGCAATTGTATTTGAAGCACAACATATCCAATGTATTTCGTTCTGCAGATGTGGTTCTTCCTACTTGTTTACTTCTTTTACTTGCCAACACTTTTACTGGCTTTTGTACCGTTGTGAAACCAGTTTTATCAATGTTATATATGCAATAAGAATCAAATTTATATCGCTTTCCTTCTGGTTTTAGATTTAAAAAAAATTATCCTACAGTGTGTTGGTTAAAGGCAGTGATCGAGCAAAGCTAGTTGCTTCAGGTGTTCGAAGAGACAATTCTGGTAGTCTTTTTATAAAACTTTGCAACCAATCAATCCCTGCAAATTTATTTTTGATCCATGATGATGGGCAGATCTTATTATTTTTTACAGAAAACTTGTATGCTTATAATCATGTTAAGTTGAAAGTCCATAGATTAACTCCATTTTTGATGCAAGTAATAAATAACATGATAAACTTATTTCAGCTTCTGCAGTAAAAACTTATTTATTGTTGTAATTAGGCTTAAAAGATTCATTTGGATTGAGCTTTTTATGACAATATTTTTTTAAAAGTCATTTGATTATACAAAACTTGCGAGCTGCAACATTCATTAGTCTGTCATCTAAAACTTCATTAACAGCTGCTTTCATTGTATCACAAGGTATAGCAGCTATGTGTGTCTTTTTTTTGATACCTAAGCATTTAAGGATCTGAAAATTAAAAAAAAAAGTTTAAAAAAAATTATTGTTTTAAAACAAGTATTTTATATAATAACATTATTTAAACAAATTGTAAAACTTATGTAACACTAAAAACTAGTATTATTATTAATAGTTAACACTATTACATTTTAAAAATTATATGTTAAAAATAGTATTTGCTATATAAAATT